TTCCGGGGGATCTCTTATTCCTACTTCCAACACAAGTGCCATCCTACTTCGAAGTAGGAATAAGAGATCCCCCGGAAAAGGGCTTTTTTGTCCGGAGGATCGGGGCCAGTATAGACGCTCTTTTCCGGCTTTTCTAAAAGCCGGAAAAAAGCGGCGGACATTTTTATTTAAATGCCGCGGGGGATATTTAAATCCCCCGCGGATTTCCCTATTACGACCTGTAAAATTAGCATGCCCCTTTCGGAAAAGGGGCCAGTGTAGACATAGCCATACAGTATAATTTAAGTCCTGTAGGCCTCGCATTGCTGGCATGCCATTAACTATATCGGGAAAGGGATAAGATAGGAAAGATAGGAAAGATATATCTTAGCAGGCTACAGTGGGACTTTCCACTATCTAATAAACTTGGGTCAAAGAACTATCAATTTTTCTTCCCACTTTTCTATCTGAATATTTTTCTCTGAATCAGTTTTATTGATTTTTTTCCAGCTTTTCAGAATTAGTCTTCGTGGAGCATGGAGTGTCTGTAGACAGTATTGCTTTGGAAAGCTACTCTGTCTGTCCATTTGAGTGTCATCGGTTTCGTTCTTTTATTTTCCTCTCTTCTAGCATATGATTTTTTTTTTATCTTTTCATGAAGCAAAACAGTGGCTGACTTTTCAGTCTGCCTACATATGGCAGCCTCCCCCATTCTCGCCATCTCTCTTGGAAATCACCTTTCTATCTGCTGTACCTACACTGAGAGTGGGAGACCAAAACTGAGCAGATGTCCACGTTTTTCTGGGTGACATGTTTTTCTCCATCCCATTCCCTAGGCAGCCAAATCTTGTCTTTGTTTTTACCACTGCTGTGAAAGGAAAGGTGTTTCTCGGAGCTTCTATCGACGACATCCAGGTCTCTTCCCTGATTTACGGTCTAGTTGGGATGGTTCACCCAACACATGCCTTGGCAAAGATTTCATTTGTTTCCCCCACTCTTACCTTTTAAGTAAGTGGATGAATGGATAACTCCCAATAGTAGAACTTTAAAGACTAACACGATGGTTTATTAGGTGATGAGCTTTCGTGGGCCAGACCCACTTCCTCAGATCAATATGTGGAAGAAAATTGGCACAACCATATATACCAAAGTGATACAATCAAAAAAATGAACGCATGTGAAATTGACAAATCAAATTTTAGAACAGAGTGGGGCGGAGGGGGGAAGGTTAGTTTCTGTGAGGTAATGATATAGGGGTGATAATAGGGGAAGTTTCTGTGAGTTAATGACATTAGGGGTGATAATTTGGGAAGCTATCTTTATAATGGCAAAATGCAGGACAATGTAGCACTTTAAAGACTAACAAGATGGTTTATTAGATGATGAGCTTTCGTGGGCCAGACCCACTTCCTCAGATCAAATAGTGGAAGAAAATAGTCACAACCATATATACCAAAGGATACATTTAAAAAAAATGAACACATATGAAAAGGACATCTTTGTAATGAGTGAGACAGAAATTAACCTTCCCCCCTCTACCCCACTCTGTTCTAAAATTTGAGTTGTCAATTTCACATGCGTTCATTTTTTTGATTGTATCACTTTGGTATATATGGTTGTGCTGATTTTCTTCCACATATTGATCTGAGGAAGTGGGTCTGGCCCACGAAAGCTCATCACCTAATAAACCATCTTGTTAGTCTTTAAAGTGCTACATAGTTCTGTCTTTTGTTTCAGCTACACCAGACTAACACGGCTGCATCACTTTCACTATTCGCAATAGTAGAGACTCTCTAGCTTGGTTTTCCTTGCATTAAGGAAGCCTGACGAATACCCCGTATCCACACTCATGTTTCCTGCTAGTGCCTTAGAAGGTTTTCCCCATCACGATGTGTAGGAATTAATGATGCAGCAAACACTGTAAGATATGGAATTGGTATTAGTAGGGTCAGTTGTTTGTAGTTATTTTCTCTAAATTTTGAAAATGTTATTTTTTCAGTGTGAAGAAAGAGCAGTCTTCTTCACTCATAAAAAAGCCACCAGCAGGGCATATTGTGTGTCATACTCACATTGTCTCTCCATCCAGGTATTTGTGCCATGACCCTCACCCTGCAACCGGGGCACATACAGGAAGTCAGAGGAACGTAAGGTACATACAGGACACTCCGTTCTGTCTCAGACTTGGACACCTCCTCCCTGATCCATGTCAGATTCCAACACAAGTGCCTTCACCAACCCCTCCACCTTCATCCTGCAGGGCATCCCTGGCCTGGAGACAACCTACACATGGATCTCCATCCCCTTCTGCACCATATATGCCACAGCTATCTTGGGCAACATCACCATCATGTTCATCGTGAAGACGGAGCAAACTCTCCATGGTCCCATGTACTATTTCCTGTGCATGCTGGCCACTATCGACCTGATTCTGTGTACATTTCTGTTTCAATTCCAGGGAGATCGATTTCAATGCCTGCCTTGCCCAGATGTACTTCATTCACTGCTTCTCATCGATGGAGTCTGGGATCCTTGTGGCCATGGCTTTTGATCGCTATGTGGCCATCTGTGATCCCCTGAGACATTCCACCATCCTGACCAACCGGGTGGTGGCCAAGATCGGCCTGGCTGTGGGGATGCGCAGTGCTATATTTGTGCTGCCCTACCCTCTCCTAACAAGGCAGTGGCTTTATTGCAGAACCAACATCATCCCCCACTTGTACTGTGGGCAAATCGCCGTGGTGAACCTGGCCTGCACTGACACCCAACTTAGCAGTTACTACGGCCTCTTTGTGCTCTTCTCTGTAAACGGTGTTGATATCATTTTTATCATTGTGTCCTACATTCACATCCTCAGGGCCATCTTCCGCCTCCCTACCAAGGAGGCCCGGCTGAAGACTTTCGGCACCTGCAGCTCCCACCTCTGCGCCATCTCAACTTTGCACATCCCAGATTTAATCGCCTCCCTCTTGCGCCGGTTTGGCCACAACATGCCCCTTAGTTTCCTCATTCTCTTCGCTAACGTGTATCTTGTGGTGCCCCCCATGCTACACCCCATCGTCTATGGGGTTAGAACCAAGCAGATCCGCGACAGGCTGCTCCGGCTGTTTACACATAAAGAGACCTAAACTTTTTCTCCCAGGGAACGGGCTTTTGGACTAAGCTCCATGCAGACCTGGCTAGTGGCATGGTGCAGAAGCCTTCTTCCTTGAAGCACTTACTGAATGCTCAGAGAGACACTAAACACTTTCGGTGGCCTTACTGTGCTGTGTTAGGAGGGTGAACTGGAGAATCAGTCAATGTACAAGACACTTGATTGTCATCTTTCTAGTTCCTGATAGACATGAAACGCATGAATCAACACCTCCTCTTCTACCTCTTCTCTCAAGACCTTGATACTTACTCCTTTCTTCTACTCCACTTCTCAGTGGCTGGATCTTTTTCATCATCCTGACCTCCTGCCCAGTTGTAAGGGAGCCATTTCAGATTTTTATATAGGTTGACATTAAGTGTGATTCCCGGGGTTACTTAAGCTCTTGACAAATATGGTTTTGTTTGGGGGTTTTTTGGCAGATAACTTAGCAATGAGCTGTCAGGAGCACAGTATGTAATTCCTATATAACAGAAAGAAAATTAAATAAATATTGGACCCACTCATCTCTAAAACCAGTGTGTTCTTACATCTCGGAGCAAGTGACTGAAGGGACACTGTTTAGGGTTAACATTTTCATATCTATTCTGACTTTGTTGCTAACTTTGTGGGAGAAAGACCCCATCGGGACCCCCAGGTTCTATCTCAGCTCTGGGAGGGGAGTGTGGCCTAGTGGGTTACTGCAAGGGGCAGAGACATCTGGGGTCCCCATGAGAGTACAAGAGTGGCCACGCTGGGTAAAACCAATGGCACATCTAGTCCAGTGCTGTCTTCTGACAGTGTCCAATGCCAGGTGTTTCTGACGGAATGAATCACAGAAATCATCAAGTGCCCCACTCTTAACTTCTGGCAAACTGAGGCTAACGACACCATCATTGCCCATTCTAGATAACAGCTGTTGATGGATTTATCCTCCATTCACATCCATATTTCCTAATGGACAGGTTAGAGTTTGGGCACCTACAACATTCTCTAGCTGAAAATTCCACAAGTTGCCAATGAAGAAATTGTTCCTTTTGTTTGTTTTCAAAACTGATGCCAATTAATGTCTTTGCAGTAAACAGCATTACCTTATGCAATCGCTCCACTCTCATACCTCTCCCCCATCATCTATTTTCCTATAGAGAAGAGGAGTTGAGTTTAGGGGGTAGTGACCAACAGCTCAATGTCTGATTGGAGGTTGGCATTAAGGGTCAACTCTAGGACCAATTTTGTTCAACATCTTTATTAGTGACTTGGATGAGGGGATGGATTGCACCTTCAGCAAGCTCGCAGATGCTTCTAAACTAGACGGAAAGGTCAATATGTTGGAGGGCAGGGATAGGGTCTAGCATGACCTAGAGAGGATTAGACCAAAAAAATCTGATGAGGTTCAACAAGGACAAGTGCAGAATCCTGCCCTTGGGATGGAAGACGCCCAAGCATTGTTACAGGCTGGGCACCAACTGGCTAAGTAGCAGTTGGGTAGAAAGGTCTTTGGGATTATAGTGGATGAGAAGCTGGATATGAGTCAACAGGGCGCCCTTGTAGCCAAGCAATAATGGCATATTAGGGTGCATTAGGAGGAGCATTGCCAGCAGCTCTAGGAAGCGATTATTCCCTTTTTTTCAGCCCTGGTGAGCCGTGTTCCCTCTAAGATTTTCCATCCCCGAGTGGAGTGAGTTTTGTCTTGTGCGCCGAGATCATGGGTGCTTGTTTGGACGTGCACCACTGTGGCACCCACCGGGGCCTGCTCCCCAGTGACTCTCCCAGGTAGCGCCGCCTTGCTGCCATGTTGGAAGGGACCGATGCTTTCCCATCCCCCGATCCTGCACCTAGGAGGGTGTTGTTTTCCTGCCACCCTTCCCCCCACACTGAGCACAGGCTGGGAGCCAGAAAGCTCATGCCAGCTCCTACCACATGGCTACAGCATGCCTGGGCCTCAGTTTCCCCTCAGTAGCCATTTGATAGTGCTTAGCGCTGAAGGAGCCATGGGTCCCTAGGGATTATTTCGGGTTAGGAGGCAGGGGCAGGAATATTTTGCCAAATGGCAGGGAGACACCCCTGACCCTGGAATGGGCTCTTGCGGGTAGAAGCCCCTTGTCCCTGGGACATTCAGACTGGACAGCAAGGGGGGGAACACGAGAGGGAAGAATCCTGCCCTGACTCAGGGGAGGTGGCTGGAGCCCCGAGGGGCTGTTGCAGAGGGTGGCAAGTGCTTGGAAACATTAGGCAGGTGCCAGCAGGAAGCCAAGGGGGCTGTTTCCCCCAGCGAGGGGCTAAGCAGAGGGGAGAGGTTTATTGAGGGTGTGGGCTGCCAGCCGGGCCTTTTAGCTCTGGGTTTAGTCCCTGACAAGGGCCTGCGAGTGGGGGAATCTGAGACCTCCCTAAACCAAAGCTGTGGAGATCTCAGCTCATCAAACCAGTTGTGTCCCCTCATGATGCACCCCCTGCCACATGGCCAGAGCCACTGAGGAAGCCTCCTGCCATGTGGATTCTCTGGCCCCAGCAGCTGGATGAGCAGCTGCCACCACGCGGCCTGACCCCCAACCCCGGAGCAGCTGGGCAGTTCTTACATGGCCCTGGCTGCAGCCCAAGGGAGTCGGGACAGCAAAGAGCTGCCCAGCTGATCCCCCACTCGCCCACCACCAGCAGCAGCAGCAGCTCCCCGCTTCCACCAGCACGCTGCTGCGTGGCTCTGCCAAGGAGGTGGGCGGACGGAGAATTGTTTGTGCGCGGCTGAGCAGGCACACACCTGAGTGGGGACTAAGATGGTGAGGCCTCATCTGAGGTAGTGCATCCAGTTCTAGCCCCACCCCCCCCATTCCAGAAAGGATGTGGGTGCATTGGAGAGAATCCAGTGGGAAGCAAGAAAAATGATTATCGGACTGGAGCACATGACCTATGAGGAGAGACTGAGGGATTTGGGCTTGTTCAGTCTGCAGAAGAGTAGAGTGAGGGAGGATTTAATAGTGGCCTTCAACTACCTGAAGGGAGGTTCCAAAGAGGATGAGGAGAGGCTGTTCTCAGTAGTGATGGATGATAGAACTAGGAGCAATGGTCTTAAGTTATCTTGGGGGAGGTCTAGGTTGTATATTAGCAAAAACGATTTCCCTAGGCGGGTGGGGAAGCGCTGGGAGGGGTTCCCTAGGGAGGGGGTGGAATCTGCATCCGAAGAGGTTTTTAGGTCCTGGCTTGACAAGGCCTGGCTGGGATGGTTGAGTTGGGGTTGGTCCTGCTTTGGGCAGGTGACTGGACTCGATGACTCCTGAGGACTCTTCCAGCCCTGGGATTCCATGGTTCTATATCATTCCATGTCGCTAGCCGCAGAGTGAGATAACTCGTCCCAACAGTGTCCCCGCCTTGGCTCCCTCAGCCCCTCAATCTACTGCTATTGTCGCTGGTGGGAGGGAAGCAGGGGAAAGGGAAACCAGAAAAAAATCCAACCCCCATGTCCCTAGTGATAAAACCGAGCAAAGCTCTAGGTGGGAAAAATATCTCAAAACTTACTATAATGTTTCTGCACCTCGAATTTGGGCAGCACCAAGGGGATCAGGCTACATATGTACCAGACCTCTCTGTTGCTCTCAGCTCCTCTCCAGGGTCATCGGTCCTCTAGCAAAATCAGCAGTGGGAAAGAAGAAAGCTCCAAAGAGGCGCCTCCTTGTGCTCATGGGTGTGACCTGAAATTCTCTCTCAGCCCCTAAGTAGAAACTTCAGCGATGATACTCCCTGCAGCAAAACAATGGGGTCTTTGAGGTTGCCCCTGCCCTGCAGCCTGTCTCACCTGGCCATTGCCATGGACTCTCTGTGAGGTCACCGCCTCCCAACCTCCTTTGACCAATAAGCTGAGGTGCCACAAAAGACCCTTGTGATGTCACTGCCACTCCCAGCCCTGCCCTGAAGGGCCAATGTCCTTCCCTGGCCAGTTGCTTTGCATGTTTGAGCTGCTCCCCCTGTGTAAAAGCCCCACACTCCGTGTTAATTCTGTGGATTGAGCAGGCTGCAGAGGCTGCTAAATTGTTGACCCTCAGTTTGGCATAGATTTGTCAAGTTTAAGTTCTGAAGAGACTTTTAGACCATCCCTTCCATGCCCACCCCGCTGCAGAGACACTGGAGAAAATTGGCTTTTACCCAGAATGCCATTGCTCTCTTCTTCTGTCCAGGAGTGATCCCCTTAGCTGACAATATTTTTCAATGACCAGCATATTTACAGATGAATGCACCTGCCCCAGCATCCAGCCTCTGAGCCAAGGAGTGTGAGCAAACAGTCCAGGGAAAGACACAAGGACTGAGACAGTTCTCACACAACCAAGCACAAGGCAATCGGGTTTCCACCTCTCTGGGTTTTACAAAGAATCTCTCGAGGGTTGTTTTGTTTTTCATTTTTCAGTTTGATTCTGTGGCCGGGCACCATTGGTGGTTGCCAGGTGCCTCTATTTCAACCAGAAGAGTCCCCGGAAAGACACAAGGACAAGGGATGATTGAGTTGGGTCGGTCCTGCTTTGAGCAGGGGGCTGGACTCGATGACTCCTGAGGTCTCTTCCACCACTAGGATTCCATGATTTTAAGGACTCAGATGGTTCACACACATTCAAACAAGAGTCAATCAGGTTTCCACTTCTCTGGGTTTTCAAAAGAATCTTTTGAGGGTTGTTTTCTTTTTTGTTTTGATTCTGTGGCCGGGCGCCATTTGTGGCAGCCAGGTGCCCTTTTTTCAACCAGAACGCGCAGTTGGAAAGGGGCTCTGGAAGTGTTCAATTCCTGCATGGCAGCGGAAGTCGGGTCATTAAGGCATGGCAGCCTCAGCTCAGCTGGGGATGACTCATGGTGGGAGGCAGGCTCCAGGCCATGCTGCAATAGCTGCCTTAGCCAGAGGAGCTGAGGGGGCCCAGCTGGAGTGGGGAGGGATGTGGAGTCAATCCAGTGAGTGATGAAGTCAGGGAGGAACTGACCAAGTGAGAGGGGAGGGGTCATGAGGGAAGAGGTGAAGAACTGTCACCAGACGGGTTGGCGGAGATGGGGCTGAGCGGGGCTACAGGGGCCCAGTTATGAGCAGTTAAAAAGGTTGGAGCATAATGAGTGGTACAGAGATGGATTCCCCGGTTTGTGTCATAGATGCAGCCCTGGAAGGCCATGAAGCGGTTTAATGTCTCTCTAAGGGTGTGTCTAGACTCCATGGCGCTCCCGACAGAGCAATGTAAACTATTTTACCCGACATAGTCAATGAAACGGGGATTAAAATGCTCCCTGCTTCGTTAAAATAAAAATGGCCGCCGTGCTGTGCCGACAATTAGCTGATCCGGCACAGCGCGGGAGTCTAAACATGGATCAGTCAACAAAGGAAGCCTTTGTCGACCAATCCCTTATGCCTCGTGAAACGTTAAGTCCCCGCCAGCGCGGGAGTCAAGACGCGGATCGATTGACAAGGGAAGCCTTTGTCGACTCCTCCCTTATGCCTTGTGAAACGAGGTTTACAGGAGCGGTCGACTAAGGCTTCCCTTGTCGACTGATCCGCGTCTAGACTCCCGCACTGTGCCGGATCAGCTGATTGTCAGCACAGCACGGCGGCCATTTTTATTTTAACGAAGCAGGGATTATTGAAATCCCCGTTTCATTGACTATGTTGGGTAAACTAGTTTACATGGCTCTGTCGGCAGAGCCATGGAGTCTAGACACACCCTAATGCCCAGGCATGGATTTAGGGAAGAGAACTCAGCACTTGTCACCAGCCAGTTCAGGAGAACCTTGGTCTGAGGACCAGAGCACCAGGGAAAATGTTACTCTGTCTGAATTATGTGCCTCAGCAGCCTGTCTCGGATCTGTTTGGTTCTCACCCCGTAGATGATGGGGTTCAGCATGGGGGGCACTAGCAGATGCAAATTGGCCATGAGAATTTGGAAATACAGGGGCACATGGTGGTCATACCGGGATACGAACACGGAGAAGAGAACTGGGATGTAAAAAGCTAAAATGACACAGAGGTGGGAGCTGCAGGTCCCAAACGTCTTGAGCCGGGCATCCTTGGTGGGGAGGCTGAAGATGGCCCTGAGGATCAGGATATAGGACAACATCATGGAAAACACATCCGTAACAGCCACCAGGAATGATACAATGAGGCCGTAGTAAGTACTGATGTGGGTGTCAGCACAGGCCAGTTTCAACACAGCCATCAACTGACAGAACGAGTGGGAAATGATGTTGGTGCGGCAATATGGCCACTGTCTTGCCAGGAAGGGAGAGGGCAGTAAGAAGATGCAGCTGCGCAGCACAACGGCCAGGCCTATCTTGGCAACCACAGAATTTGTAAGGATGGTTGAATGTCTTAGGGGATGGCAGATGGCCACGTAGCGATCCAAGGCCATGGCCGCAATGATCCCAGACTCCATCACCGAAAAGATACCTATGAAGAACATCTGGGTGAGGCACGAACCAAAATCGATCTCCCTGGAATTGAACCAGAAGATGCTCAGTGTTTTGGGCAGGGTGGATGTGGGCAGGACCAAGTCGGTGACAGCCAGCATGCAGAGGAAATAGTACATGGGTCTATGGAGGCTCGGTTCTATCTTTACGATGAACAGGATGGTGAAGTTTCCCAAGAGGGCTATGATGTACATGGCGCAGAAGGGGATGGAGATCCAGCCATGGGCGGCCTCCAGGCCAGGAACTCCCTGCAGGATGAAGGCGGAGGGGTTGGTGAAGTGGGTTGTGTTAGAATTATTGTGTTAGAATCTGTCATGGATCAGGAGAAAAAAATGGCCAAGTGTCTTTTGCATGTACCGTGCACTTCCCTGACTTCCTGAATGTGCCCAGGTTCTCTGATGATGCTCATAGAACAATTCCCTGGAAGGAGAGACAATGTTGATGAGAAACACGATTCGCACTGCTGGCGGCTCTTCTCACATGTGAAGCAAACTCCTCACTCTTCACACAATGAAAAATACCATTGACATTATTCAGGGAAGTGAATTCTGAGCCACTTACCCAACTCATTCAAGTTCCCTATTTTCTGGTGCTCTTTGGGTTGGTAACTCCTACATGTCGTGGGGTGGGAAAACTCAGTAGGCACCAGCAGGAAACACAACCATGGATACTGGTCATCCCTTCTTGTTCCAGGCTGAATTCACCCATCTTATCCCTCAAAACCTCAGACTGGGAAAAAATAAAGCTTTTTCAACATTTGTACCATGGGAAAACTGGAACACACTTTGGGGAAAAGACTTCGGTGTCGCTGATAGCAACTCAATGGAAACACCTGCTCAATCCCAGCAGTGGGGAAAGAGAGACCACGTTTGGATACCTAAGGAATGGGATGCAGGACAACCTACACTGGACATGCGCTCAGCGCTGGTCACCTCTTCTCTATAAAGGACACAGCAGATAGAAAGGGATTACTTCAGTCAAACTTGAAAGATACAAACACCAGCGTTTTGAGCTGACCAGTCAGCTATCTCATTTGGAATGAGAAGTGCATAACTGGGCAGCAGAAATGCAAAACCAAGGAAAAAGTGGACCAATTGGAGGTTGAAAGTAAACTAAAAAAAAAGGAATGTATTAAAATCATAGAATCATAGAATATTAGAACTGGAAGGGACTGCGACAGGTCATCATGTCCAGCCCCCTGCCCTCAAGGTCCTATCAAATATACAAAATTTCATCCTAGAACGAGACTACATGTTTGGTTGATCAAGGGAATCAGGGATTCAAAGGACTTTCATTAATCTGTGGCATTTGATTTCGAGAGAGAAATCTTCAGCTAATGCACAAAGGGCTGAGTTAGAGCTAGGAAAGGATTTTAGTGCTTCACATGGTGGAGTTTGTCTATGTCATGCCAGTCCCCGGGTCCACGTTTCCACAAGGATGTTAACATCTGGAGTCAGTGCAGAAAAGAGCCACTGAAATGGCTGCGACTGGCGAAAACCCCAGAGAAAGCGAGAGAATGAAACTGCTTGATTTATTTCCCTTAACTGTTACTAACAGACTGAGTAACCAGGCAGAACAAGGCCCGGATGGCTAGGAGCAGAAACCAGACGCTGTTTAGTTGGAAATAGTTAGAACTCCTGGAGATAAACCGTACGGAGAAGCTGCGAAAGGAAGCAGTGAAATCCCCAACTGCTCCTGTCGCCTCTGCACATGCAGACTGGGGGTTTGCTGGGAGATTTGCTTGAGGGGTTGTCTCAATGGAAAACTCCACAGCAGCCTTTTCCTTCATTGTAGACCGAAGCAAGTAGCAGGGGGCCACAAATCAATAGAGGTAACGACCTCCCGGAGAGGTTCAATGGGCTTGTCGTAATGCTTCCATAGCCACCTCTGCCAGGACTGCTTATATAGCCACAATTGGAAATGAAATTGTGGCACTGGTGAGGCCGCATCGGGAGTATTAGACCCAATTCTCGCATCCCCTCCCCACCCCAACTACAAAAAGGATGTGGAAGCATTGGAGAGCATCCATCACAGGGTGACCAAAATGATGAGGGAGCTGGAGCACGTGGCCTAAAAGGCGAGTCTGAGGGATTTGGGCTTGTTTAGTCTGCAGAAGAGAAGAGTGAGGGGGGATTTGAGAGCAGCCTTCAACTTCCTGAAGAGATGCTCCAAAGAGGAAGGAGAGAGGCTGTTCTCAGTAGTGATGGCTGGCAGAACGAGGAGCAATGGTCTCAAGTTACAGTGGGGGAGATCTAGGTGGGATATTAGAGAAACTATTTCCCTAGGAGGGTGGGGAAGTGCTGGCCTGGGTTCCTGTGATGGTGGAATCTCCATCCCTAGAGGTTTCTAAGTCCTGGCTTGACAAAGCCCTGGCTGGGATGATTGAGTTGGGTTGGTCCTGCTTTGGGCAGGGGGCTGGACTCAATGACTCCTGAGGCCTCTTCCAGCCCTGGGATTCTATGAAAAAAGGCCAATACAATGTTTGGGGGTAGGAGCAGAGGCACAGCATACAAGTCACAGGGTGTGATATCACTGCTCTACGTGGTGCTGGTTACGCATCAGAAAAAGTCCCATGTCCGATTCTGGGCACTGCTGGACAGAGAGATGCAGAGAAACTGGAGAAGATCCAGAGGCGAGTGACAAAGGTGACCCAGGGGGCAGAACACCAGCCCTCCGAGCAAAGGGGGGCTCTCTCTCTCCCCCATCAACTATCTCTCTAAGCATAGCCTGATGACCCTGCCCTATGTAAACTGTCATATTGTTATTTAATATTGTAATTGTTAGATTTAATATTGTAACTGTTTGATATCTATTCACTACTCAGAAATAAATCACTTTCATTGTTAAGCTGGTTGCTTCTCTCTCTTTCTCTTTTGCTCACTCTTACTTAAGGCACAAACATGTCCCCCATATAGTGTCTGCTTCTGGCCTTACAGTTTATGAGACTTCTTAAGTGAAGCGAGGAGAGAACATGCCCTGCCCATGCTGGAAAGCCCTTGTAATGCTTCCAGTGAGGAGCCCTGGCATCTAATGATTTCTAGCCAACAAACGGCAGGTACCAACCCACCACCCACACGTGTTACCGGCCAGGGCTCTGACACGCAGGAGGAGGAGCTGACGGTCTCTCTGCATTAACACACAGCTGCCCCCGGGACTCTCACTCCAAGGGGAGCTTCGCCTCAGTGAGGTCTGAGTACAGAGCCTGCTACAGCCCCAGAATCTGGCTTCTTTTGGAATCTAAAGAGTCTTTCCATCCGGAAGGATCCCCCTTGCCACTGAAACACAGCCACCATGGGAGAGACCATCAGGCATCCGAGAGCAGGGGGCACAGCACAGAACGGTGTTTTGGACACTAGTACTCATGTCCCGTGGCAAGGCTGCTGGGGTGTTGAATGGCCACGCAGAGGGGAACGGACCAGAGACTTACTCTCCATCACTCACAGGCTCATTGCACCGGGATGGGAAGCAGTCGAGGTCCTTAGCAAGGGATGGGTCCCTGTGAACTTCCCCCACAATCTACCTCAGCTTGGTGTGTCCCGCCCGCCTCTCATCCCGTGTCACCCCACGAGAGCGCCCAGGTGTCTGTTAACGTTGAACACTAAGCGGAGGTGAAAGGACCCAAATCTCGTCTGTGCCCCTCACTCTCATGGTTCACTGAGTTCATCACGCAGGTGAGATCGTCCCCAACGATGGTACCTGTGAATTCTGAGTCAACAGCGTCCTCCCTGAGAACCTCTCTCACGGAGCCGAGCCCCACACCGCTCTCGCCCCCGCACCGGCAGCAACATCCGAGAGCAACCCAGGGCTTACCAAGCGTTTATAACTCAGCTGCGCTCAATCCCCATGAGGGTCCCTGGACCTCCAGAGAACAGTCCACCATCTGACGGTAAACAGGCTGGCGCCTGGAGACGCACTAGCCAGTGTCTCTGTTTCCACGTCCGTGCTTCTGCGCTTTGTCCAACTCTAAGGATAAAGAATAATTAAGAGGCCTGCCCGAGGGAAAGGAGAACTCTCGCGCTCCAGGCTGAGTCAGAGAGGAATTGCCTGTTCGGGGTATTTCTCTATATTTAACAAAAAATTGATTAGCAAGAAATCAAGGGCTAACACCAGTCCTGCGTGAGATCTGATACACTGTACGTGCCCATGATGGATGGGTAAATGGTAGGTAAGACAGATGGGTGAAAGTAACTGAGGGAGATGCAATCTAAGATTAGAGATGAGTAATTATCATCAATACTTATCTCCATTCTGTGCAGCAGCTTTCATTGAGGGTTTTGCAGAACAGCTATGAAAGGAAAGTCACTATGATCATATGCACATTAACAGATAGGTAAACTGAGGCATGGGGCGATGTAATTTTGCCAGAGTCACAGCAAGTAGGAGTCCTGACTTTACAAATGTAACCACTTTCTCCCATCAGTAACTCAATGCATGCAAAGAGGGAATGGGAGTCATGGATTTGCAGGGAGTGTTCGTTACCTGGTCACCACAGATATCAGTAGGGTATGGCCTGGGACTGAGGTAATGCTGAGCTTTCTGGGAAACCAGCCTGAGCCCCCTCCCACACCGTGGGTTTCTCACATCCACCTGCAGTGACATGGGTGCTTTTGCCAGCCACTCATGTAATGACAACGGTACACAGGCCGTTCCTCTCAGTTCCCAAAGCTCTGAGCGCAGAACTCTTGCCCAGAGCAGTGTAAATGTATTACCCAGGCTGCTCCTCCCTCCGTAGCAAGAGATCTGTAAACCAGGGCCCGTTCCTGAACAGATTTCCCTTTGACCTTCAGAGACCCGACTTGTGTAGGTTTTGTGTATCCTCTACACAAGTGTCAGGTTTACATAATCATCAGTGGTGGCTTTGGAGCCAACTGTGCATTGCTCAACTCGACATCCAACACGACAATCTGAGCTCTGCCATTTGGACAGGATTTGAATCCAGCAGTGTCACTCTGATGCATCAAAGAGGTCACCACAGGCCAGGATCTCTCCTTCCCAGCCTGGGGCCACCTCCCCGGTCACAGCCCTTCGTCCTCCAACCATGTTTTCAGGGGCTCAGTGGCAGGGAAAGTGAATCCAACTGTGATGTCAGATCCCCCATTTACAGCATCCGCCAGGTAGAAGGAACTTCATTGCCCCTACAAAGCTCCCAGCTCCGTGAGAAGCAAATGACAGCCACAAAATAGAGTTCGGTGTCATATGGGCTGGTCACATGCTGTTCTGCACTTCAGTGGGTCGTTGCAGGAGGGGTAACCCAGATTCTGATTACAACATCTCCAGGAAAGTCCAT